GTATACCTGTGGGCTTTGAACAATTGAGAATCTGATTAATGTATGGATCCTCTCCCCAGAAAGCTGGGCATGAATTCACCCAAACAAAAGTCTGCATTTAATTTCAGAAGGTTCTGAAGTTTCTTGAAGGCCATCCATGAGCGTTTGGTTTTGATGGGTCCTGATCCACTGTGCAGATGAACACATTGAGGCCCAGAGAGAGACAACCAGTGCCTTTTGGAAGGAGGTGAAAATGAAGCCATCCAGTCTCCAAAAGCAGGACGAGGTGCAACTATGTCCGGGAAAGCTCAAAATTCCCCCAAGTGCCCACAATGAAGCTCATTCTCTGGCTTATCCTAACACGTTGTCAGTCTAGGGAACAGGGTGGCAGCCCATGTCACCAGATCCCCCATCACGCCATAAAGAACTGCCTGCCACCTTCTGGTCCAGCCTCCCTTCTCTGCCCCCCAGAGCCAGTGGCAATATCAGCATGAATGAGGGAGGGCTGGCAACTCAGCTGCCTTTTGTGGGAGTCACTAGAATAAACCCTAGCTCCAATTTTGGGTTGAAACAAAATGATCAGAATGATAATAGCTTCCCTGGGATGTCTGGCCAGCTTCAATCTGTCAGGCCCAGCCACTCCCTGCCCTAGGGTCCTAGGCATGAATGCATTGGCCTCTTCCCGTGCTGCCATACAAGGCTGGCTTGTGACTGTCCAAAAAGAATCCCAGGAGCTCCAAATGGAAGGGACCTCCCTCCCCCAGTCTCACCTGCCCTCGTGTCTCCTCTACCACCTCCCCATTAGACACTGTCTGCTCTCTGCTTGCAGATCTCCAGAGCTGGGGAGCTCTGGCCACAGCCCATTCTCTGTCCAGGCCTCATCTTCTCACAAGCTGTCTTCCGGGCCTCCAGTTCGGAGTTTGGGCTCACCATGCACTCGCTCTCTGACAGCCTTTACATATTCGAAGACATTGAGTGAATGTCATTTGATAACACCTTGTTTATGTTGGTGTCACCATCTATTTGCTGATCTGCATTAACAATAATTACATGCAAATTCATATCTCCCCCAAACAATAACATGTCTCTGAGGGCCTATGTGTGAAGGTATCCCTCTCCCCAGAAGAATTCAGACATGCACTAAATCGTGATTTCATTCAATCCAACCAGAGGCTCTTTTTTTCCTTGAAATTCAGCCCTAGAAATGAAAACTAAACTAAACTTGGTGTCACTTTTGGCATACACTTTTCATTGAAATAAAAATATGTGTCAATCTCAGAACTAGGATTATACCTTTAATTCCCTTCAGTCTCCTGTTCTATAGGTTATTTTAAAAAATTTATTCAGTTGGAAGGTGGGCCATTATGATTAGAAGCTCTTCCTTATTAGCTGGAAGCTGGTCATAAACAAACTCACTTGCCTTACAGAATTTGTTTATCTTCATGGCAGAAAGCATTCGGAGCTCCATTACCACATACATAGCACAGGAAATATCCTTTATTATTCTGTCCACTTATTTTTTTCCATGAAGGGAATAACTTTTAAAATAAATCAAAATTAGACATAGACATTTGCATGACGTTGGAACAGTCCATGACACAGAAAGGACACCACTGAAACAGTCCTTATTTTCACAGAAGTGGAGAGACAGAGGGACAAGGGCAGGCACCCCACAGTGACTTCACATTCCCCAGTGTTTCGGTGGCTTCTGTGATTGCAGTAACGACTCCGCTGTCTCCCAGCAGAGCTGTGGATCCTGGGATTAACAAGGGCCTGACAACATGTTACCCTCCAATTCCTCAAAACAAGCTTCAAAACAAAAAGGTTGGATTCCGAAAACAAGTGTTTCTGGCATCAATGGAAGAGATATTTGAGAAAGAGGAACTACTGAATGTCCAGAAAAATCCAAGTTCTGGAGGCCAGAAATCTGACATTTTTCTGGTAGGTGGGTGGTTGGTCACCAGATCATTCTAGAAAGTCCTACAGAGAAATGGTGTGCTTCCTTCACTGTAAATTTAATAGCGTTTAGAAGACTTGCAGATTTTTTTTAAATGGTACCCTTCATTGTCTAATCCAACCCCTAATTTTACAGGCAAAGAAATTTGAAGTCCAAAATGATGAGGTCACTCTCCCCGGACCACCCAACTAGTCAGCTGAAGACCCAGGTCTGTGCAACTCTAAATGCTGTGCTGTTTCCACCACACTACACACCCCCTCTGTTCTCCATTCCATGGCTTTCAAAGGGAGTAAACAAACAGATGAAGTGAGCTCAGTGGGCTTTTTTATTCAGAAATGACTTCTTTGGTAAGAATGCTTCAGTCTCACATTAGCAAGCTGGAAAACAGATCAAATGGCAGGAGACTGGCTCACGCAGGCCCTACCTTTGAGAATTAAGGCAGCTTGGGGGACTTTTGTCTGGCAGGATATTTGACAAGAGGCAGCAGCTCCCACCTCCTTTGTCTCACCTACATCTCAAATGAAGACTAACAGGTAATGCTAAATAATTAGACACTGAGTCATGTCTCATTATAAGTGATGGCCTTGAACCAATATTTTACATTTCATGGAAAAGAATAATTATTTAAAAACCTAGTAAAATATCCAAAGTGTCAAGTGTCATATACAGTACACAGCAGCACCCTTGTCCTGGGTGACCTCTGCTATGAAAAAAAGGCCACAAAAAAAGAAGTCAAGCATTACTTGCAGTAAAGGATGTCATCCCACTCCCCCAGAAAGATTCAGACATGGTCTCCCAGCACCTCCCCTAGAACTTCCAGGGCTTCCCGGGCACCTTCACCCTCCCAGGGGACCTGGACTTGGAGTCACCTTCCGCCACCAGGCAGCACCACTGTGTTGTTTGGTGTTGGGTCAGCTAGCACCCTGGGACACACATCTGGAGGCAGAAGGGCCACACGCAGATGGCTGGGAGAAAATGGCAGGTGCTCTCTGAAGTACGCCCCTGTTCTAATGCACACCCCTGTCTGCTGTCACTCTAGTCAAGCAGTCTCTGTTTCCACGCCCATCCATCCCGAAGAGTGATTGTTCCCATCAAAAGAGAGTAGTTCAATAATTTTCTCTCTGGCAACCAGGTAGAGGAGAACAAATGACATTCTCTCATCTCTCGCCTTCTTCCAACACATTGTTCTTTTTCTAAGAAATGTACCTTTGCCACTTGAATGGATTTTGTTTTTAACGACAGCCCTGGGCGGGGTGAACCATATTGTGCAGGGAATTTAAAAGTGCTCTGAGATGGGGGATGTGAATTGAGGGTCCGATTTGATTCCTTGGGAGCTGAGAAACCTTGAGCAAGAATGACTGAGATGCTGAGTCTTGGCTTTCTTACCTGGGAAGTAGGGAGATAGAAGCCAGCTTCACTGGGTAGATGGAAGGTAATGTGGGTAAAAGTGCTTTGTAAAAAAATAAAAATAAAAATAACATCTAAGGAGGAATTACCTTTCATGGGAAGATTCAAAGTCACTAATGGGGCCCAGACCCCCAACTGATTGTCCACTTCATTGAATGCTCTGAGGCATCACCTTTCACAGGACTCCAATAATACACTTGCTACTTGGGCTGTCTCAGACCTCAAAAGTCTCATGGTTTCCCCTTTTTTGGTCTGAAAAAAATGACCTGAGGACTCGGACTCAGCAGGAAAATATCAGGGCCCTGGACATCTTCTTGCCCCTGTCTGGCTCCTACATTACTCTCTTCCTGCAGGATCCAATGGGCTCAGTGATGTCCTAGATTTAGGCAAAGCACCTTCTCAACATGGAAGTGAACAGGTCTTCAGTTTTCTTAGCCTGAGATCCTGCAATGGGGGCTCCCACAGTTAGAATAAGAATCCCTTCTAACAAGGGCATACAAGACTAAAACCATAAACAGAAACCCCAAAGATGCCACCAACTCAGCAAACCAAGAATCATTTCTTACTGAACTAAAACTAACCACCACCACCGCCAGAGGGCACCGCTTGCAAGTTTGTATCAGAATAAATCGCTTAAGTTCTCCACATTACCAACTGCTACTTTAGCTTAGAACATTCTCCTCTCAATTTGAGTGAGTGGGTTGTGTGGTCCCACCCTGACCTCCAGGGTGCCCAATATCATCCATGAAGAGAGATGAAGGGAGTTTTTGAGGCCAACTCTCTATTACTCAAGGCCTCTGGTCCACACTGGGTGGGATGCCCAGGGAAACGCTGTGCAGGTATCCGTGAACAAAAATAAATACAACAGCCTTCAGGCTACCCTTGGGCACCCACTTGGCCCCATGAAGCCAACATAGACTCTAGTAGTGGAGACACACATCTGGTCTCACTGGGTCCCTGACCTAACATCTCCCAGGAAGGTCTCAGGAACCACAATGAGTTTCTGAGTTCCATGTGTCTGACAGAGCAAGACCAGCACATGGACTCAGTAGACGTGACTGGCCTAGTGGCCCCTACCAGCTTGACTGATACAGAAATCTCCCAGCATCTGCTAATCGTGGTTCACTTACACTCTTCCCCTTGACCTGCATAACTCTGGACCATCTGACCACAAGAAGCCAGAGAAATGTTCCAGAACACACACAAAACTCAGATTGGTTAGAGTGACAATCAACCATGAGGGTTTCTGCTCAAGATCTCCTAAAATATTTATCCAGTGACTTCATTCTAGGGACAAATAAATCCAAACTCCCAGACACCAGAACTCTCTCTGACTGGGGTGGGCAAGAGAGGGAGGATTGATGTATCTCCCCCCCGGCCCCCAAATTCTGTAAGACTGTTTGTTTATTGTTGGTTTGGGGGTGTTTGGCACAAAGTCCATCCTCTCTCTGATTTGGACTGAGAATTTCTCCTGGGTCCCAAAGCACAAACAAACAGTGGGGATTCTGCCCAAGTCATGTACTTCAGCTTGGGCAGGCTCCCAAAGTGCGTAAAACATCCCCCAAAACAAAAGGGGTTCGACAGAAGTCATGTGGGATTCAACAAAAGTCATGTTTCCGGTTCGCTGTCTCCTCCTCTCCCCCGAGGCTCACCAAATCTCCGAGCTTGCAGCCCCCAGGTCAGATGAACGGAAGAGGCACAAAACCAGAGTCACTAAATCATGTGTAACTAGGAAAAGAGCAAGAGGGTCAGAAAGGACATCTTTCAGGAGAGGAATCCCAAGACGGTGCCCAGGGTGGGAGCAAAGCGGATGCCTGTGACCTGGACGTTGGCACAGGATGATCCTCGTCCTTGGGGCTGGCTCAGATGGCCAACCAGTGCTGCAGCTGCAGAGGAAGATGGCAAGGCTGTTATGACAGGGCCTAGGCAGGGGCCAGCAGGAGCAAGGGCCAGCTGAAGGGGCAGCAGGAAACAAATAGAGGCAGAATGTCCCCCAACCCCAGACCTCAGGGAACATGCAGGCTGGTTCCCTAGTTGTCACTGAGGCAGAAAGAACAAAGGAGTCTTTCCAAAGTCACACCACAAGTCTGCTGTGGTGGGTTCATGGGGCCTTCACTGTCCCCTGGTCCCGATGTTTTTGGGGGAAAAGTAGGAATCAGGTCGACGTGTTCCTGAAGTACTTGCAGCTCTTCCTTTGGGATAAGAAATTCTCAGCCTAGTCTGGCAACACTCTGTGGTGACAACTCACACAGGCAGAACAGAGTTGTGGGAAAGTTTTGGGCAACCCAGGACCGAGGAGCAGAGGGGCAGGCGGAGGGTAACAGAAAAGGACAGGCCACCTCCTCCTCTGACCCGACACCATACACCGACAGCTGTGCTGGGCTTTCTGGGTGTGTAGTCCTACCTTGGGCAGTGCACAGCAGGGAGCTCCCAGGGCCGGCCCCGCGGCCCCTACCTCAGGGGCCCAGGCCGCACCTACCTGGAACTGCCTGACATCCCTCTGGGCCACCAGGTGGTGCTCGTTCTCCGGCGTGATGCCATAGGCCAGTCTCTGAGACAAGCGGGAGAAGGCAAGGAGGCCTCAGCTCATGTGAGGGATACCCTCCCAGCACCCTCAGATGAGGGCCACCTGCCATTTGGCCCCAAAGCCCAACATGGACAGTGGGAGGTTCATACAAGACACCCGAAGCTTTGTTTGTGAGCTGGTCAGTTCACATTGAAACATTCATCCAGCGAGTGTTTCCTGAGTCACCTGCTATGGTCAGACATGGAGCTCCGCTCTGTAGATCCAGACCTGAAGGGGACCCATATAGCCTCTGCTTTGGGGGGAGCTTATGGGCCATATTAGGGACTGGCATTGAACAAACACTCACAGGTGATTTCAAACCCAGATTGGAGTAAGCCCTGTGAGAGCATGTAGTGAGAGAGGACCTGGCCCTGTGGGGGACCAGAGAAGGCCCCCTGTAGTGTAGACACATGCAGGTACTCAAAGCCTGTGTTCTTAAGCAATGGTTAATCTTTAGATAGTGGTTTGCCCTCCCCACTCTCAAAGAGAGAAGAGTAAAAAGATCAGGTCCCAGTTGTCATGTCTAGGGTGAAGTCCCTGGACACTGACACTTCGGGTGACCCGGGACAGAGGCCCCCAGACATAGGGATTCCACAAACAGGAAACATATCACAAGGAGTGGGGGTGGGGCTTCCGTTGGGGACTTTCTCCCCTAGGTCCCTGCATGGCTCACTCCCCTGCATCATTTTGTTTGCCAGGCTCATCATTAGGATGTTAGCTCCAGGAGGGTAGGGATGTTTGTCTAGTGCCTAGAACAGTGACTGGCACATGTTAGGTTCTCAGGATATTCCTACCAAATGGGTGGATCAAGGAATGAAAGAATCAGATCTTTATTTTGCAAGGTCAGGATATGAGGAAAAGATGATCATTATTAGTTTATAAAAGAACGGATATTTTAACAACCCTATGATAGGAATGATAGAATTACAGAATAAAGAGCATTGTTTCCCAAATATTTGTGTGTGTGTGTGTGTGTGTGTGTGTGTGTGTGTGTGTGTGTGTGTGTGTTGCATACATGTAAAAGAAGAAAATTTATGTCAGAACTCTCTGGCTTAGGGTGATCATATTATTAGGTTCAGGACAGACATGGGTAAAAACCAAGGTGACAAGATCATAGTGGGCTTGGACAAGAAGAATGGAGACATTTGGGGACATGACAAACCTTAGAAGGGGACATGGGAGTGAGTCCAGTTAAGTCTGTCTGTCTAATTAATCCTTAGTGAACTCCAGGGCTGAGCTCACCTTCTCCTGGAAATAATAGCAGGAACAGCAGGTAGCAGTTAGCACTGCACTCGGCACTCCCTTTTCCCTTTCAGGGCACACAGTGCTATCCTCAGGCCACATGTGTAGAAAGGGAGGCTCAGGGGGTAAACAACTTGGCCAATGCAGTGGTCTGTCTGACCCTAGTATCTGTGTCCCATCTCCCCTCTTTCACCCCAACAGGAATGACTCAGGGCACCTCCCACCCAGTACCCCTGGGCTGGCCCAGAGCTCACCTCCCACAGGGAGCCTTGCATACTGAGGAACTTGTAGATGATGTAGACCGGTACCAGAGCCATGGAGGACAGGGCAATGCCCCACCCAACCCAGTTGGCCCAGAGTGGGAAGATGTAGTCGTCGTAGGTGAGTGGCTTGAAGTTGATGATGCTGACCACAACCACAAACTGGGGAGAGATGAAGGCAGGGTGGGGGGTGGGCAGGAGGAGGGAAAGACAGAGCAGGAGAGAGATGAGGAGAGGGAAGAGAGGAGAGTGTGGGAGAGAAGTGAGGAGCAGTGAGTGAGATGGATTATAGGGAAAGGAGAAAGGGAAGGAGGGAAAAGAGAAAGGAGAAGGAGAAAGAAAGAAGGAATTCAAGAAACAGGTGATAATCAAAAGGAGGCAAAGGTAACAGGGAGAAAAGAGAAAGAACAGAAAGGCGACTCTGGAGCTTCCCAGGGACATGGCCCAGGCTCTTGATCTACCCCCCCACTTTGATTCACTAAGATAGAAGCTCACCACGGTACCCCAGGACTGAGCATCCCAAATGTCCCGTCTGCATGACCAGGGCCCCTGGATCCCAGAGGAACACATGCCTCCCAGTCCCATCCTGGACACAGTCCTCCTCCCCACAGGGCTCCCAGCAACACATTACACACCAGGAGGAAGGCAGGGCTGACGAACTTCCAGCACAATCTCCAGTACAGGCCCGGCTTGAACCCCATCATCTGCTGGATGTCGTTGCTGAACCTGTCCACACCTGTGCACACACAGGGTTGGTCCATCACAAGGGCCCCCACGGATGGACAAGCCAGATCCTCATATGAGGTCCTGGCTGCAGGGCAGTGGAGCAAAGTACTGTCCTGGGGACAGACACTTTGCAGGTGCAGAACAAGGAAGAGACTCAAGGACATCATCACCTTCTATATGACACTTCAATTAATTTGTCAGAGGGAAACTAGGGGTTCTGAGATGAAGGGACTTGCCTAGGTTACAGGGCAGGTTGGCCTGACTCCAGAGCCTGGCTCCTTCCTCTCGCTCAAGCTTCATCTGCAAATAACAATGACTGTGTACACAGCACGTGCCCTGACTTCAATCTGCCAGAAGAGCCAGCCTCCTACCCGCAATCTTTTGAGTGGTAGCAGAGAGAGAGAACAGGCCTAAGATGTGGCATGACACTTGAGGGAAAAAGGAACAGTAACAACCCATTAGACATTTTGCAAAATAGTGTCTCAGTTTTGCTCCAGAATTATGTTGCCAGATAAAACAAAGGACACTCAGTTAAGTTTAAATTTCAGGTAAATGACTGGGCATGGTGGTTCAAGCCTATAATCCCAACACTTTGGGAGGGCAAGGATGGAGGACTTCTTGAGCCCAGGAGTTTGAGACCAGCCTAGGCAACATAGTGAGACCCCGTCTTTAAAAAAAAAAAAATCAAAAAATTAGCTGGGTGTGGTGGCATGTGGCTATAATCCCAGCTACTTGGGAGGTTGAGGCAGAAGGATCACCTGAACCCAGGACGTCAAAGCTGAGGTGAGGAGTGATTGTGCCACTGCACTCTAGCTTGGGTGACAGAGTGAGACCCTGACACACACACACACACACACACACACACACACGCACACATGCATGCACACACGACTCTAACTAGCTAAATAAATTTCAGATAAATAATGTGAACATGTTTAGTATAACCATGCCCCATGCAATATTTAGTATATACTTATACTAAAAATTATTCATTGTTTATCTGAAATTCAAGCTTAGCTGAGCTACCCAAGTTTTGTTTAGTAAAGCTGACAAGCCTAAGTTAGAATGAATCACATGACTTTGGGTCAGCAGCTTCCTAGGGCTACTCTTTAGAAGCTGACACCAGATGCCTCCAGGAGCCTTTGCAGCCTCCTGGTAAAGGGAGCTCATCCAAAGATGAGCTGAGAGTTGGGAACACTTGTTCCCAGGAAGCAACCTACTTAACTCTGGAATTCAGGTGACTGTCCCAGGAGTGGAAAGCCCCTCTGCATCGCCATGTGAAGAAAGGACTCCAGGAGGACCAGGGCCAAGACTTTTCTGCACACTCACTTACCATAAAACCAGGAAACTCCGATGGCTTCCATGAGTACAGCAAAGAGGATGGAGGTGCCTGCCGCAAAGGTGTCCAGAAGGGTCAGCACATAGATTCCACCCTGGAGCACAGAAAGAAAAGGCCTGAGGCCATCTTTGGCTAGAAATGGGCACTGACTGTCGTGTTCATCAATTCTTAACCAGTTCCCTGTCCCTCTTGCTCAGAACCCTGTTGAGAACATGCGTGATGGGGCTGTGGTGCCATTGTATTGACATTTTGCGTTTGGAATCACTGGGTCTGAGGCTGGGTGTTTTAGCCAGTCAAGGGTGAGATGGGTTTCAGAGGGAATTTTCTACCCCTTAAATCAGTAAGCAGTTAATAGGGTTGCCTAGAAAGCTTCAGGCTCAGAGGTGGAAGAGGATAGCTGGGACCTAATCCTAGGGGATGCTGGGTCCCTGCTAGCCCCAGTTCCAAGGCTGGGAAGGTCTGACTTGATTGAAATGCAGCCCCAGAAGCTCCAGGGACTCAGGGCCCAGCTCCTGCTCACCTTGGTTATGCAAAACAGAGCCAGAAGGAAAGTGCCGAAGGAGACGCCAAATGTGAAGAGCTTCCGGTGTCTCTTCAGGACCTGGAAGTCATCGGCCAGGCCGGTGATGACAGCCTCCATTCCTCCCATCTGGAGGGAACCAGATGGGGTGGGGAGCAGGAATGAGAGTCTCCCTGGACCACAGGCTCAGGCCCTGGGCACCTCACACACCCGGGCTGCTGCCCTGAGTCTCTTAAGACATCAGCAGGTCCTGCCTTCTTCCCCATCCTCTCATCCCATCTCCAGCCTGTTCCTAAGCAAATGCAGAATTACATGGAGCTGAGCTAACTCCTGCCTCCTCTAATCCCCAGGTACCTGTGCCTTGTCCATTCACTCAGGCTGAGTGTGTTCAAATGAGACTAAAGGGGAGTGAGAGGCGTAAAACACCCAAACGCGTATGAAATGTGTTTGCATGTCAATTAGGGCCTTTGGAAACTACTACAGAAGAGCTTCTACTGGTGGGAACTTCAGGCAGCAGTTTTGGGTTTTTTTTTAACTTTTTAAAAATTTTAAAGATGTGGTGTACAATTCAGAAGTAGGTATACAAGTGGTCATCATACAGGTAAAGTTTGGGCCTCACTTTGGTCCCCACTTCACCTGGTTTGAGATCAAGTATCCTTATTGATGTTATGTGTCACCCCCCTGCCCTCACCTCCCCTGGCAATTTCTAACTACTGCCAATCCCTTTCTTATAGTATTAGGGTAAATGTTCAGGGTCTGCTTGAGTGAGAACATGTGGTACTCAGTTCTCTGTTTCTGTGATAGATAACTGAGTATTATTTTTGGCTGCCTTTCTAACTGTCAAGAAATGTGGTCAACTCAAACTCCAGACACTCAGAGTTAGAAAGGGCCTCACTGCTATGTGCAAATTTCTTCTTATGGGGCCACTGCTATGTCATACATGACACCACCATCCTGTCCTCTTCTCCTGGCAGACATTGTTAATCAAATTCAGAATGCTTCCCTGTGAGCCTAAAAGCAGCCTCACAATCCTTTTCAACACCCTGCTCCTGGCAGATCTACCAATTGAAAGGGAAAGGCAAGGAGAAAAAACTCTACTTGCCAGCCATACCCTAAGTCTTTTTTCAACCTTCCAGGCATGATGTATCGAAGATAGACACAGATTTTTAAAGATGTCAGAAAATACAATCTTATATATGGGTAAAATAAGAGGATGTAAGAAACTACTGAGGTTCAAGATGTTTTTGGTGCTTGTTGATGATGAATAGAAGGGGGACATGCTTACGGAGAGAACAATATTCTATCGGGTCCCCCCACCCATCCAGTTTTCCCATATGCCAGAGGAGAGTGTGGGGGTGGGGCTTATCTGAAGTCCCTTCTTATTTGAACTTCCACAATGTCAATGGGGTTCCTATGGTTCTTGGCTTTGGCCTAAGTCTTATCTTTTTGAATGAGGACTCACTTTCCTGATTTGCATGTAAATAGGGTCCTGTGGGAACAACAACTAATCTGGAGATTGAATGGTGAGAACTTCAGGCCCAGTACTGTGTATACGTTGGGTGGTGGGGGATCAGGCCCACTAGGGTGGGGGTAGATATCCTGAGCAGGGTCACTCACTGAGCTGTCAAGGCCCAGGGCCAGGAGCATGATGAAAAACACAATAGCCCAGAATGTAGATCCAGACAGGGTGGAAATGGCTTCTGGATACAGGATGAACACTAGGCCCGCTCCTGTAAGAAACATCAAGGACCTTATCAATGGCTGAGACTAATGGTCTGAGATGGTAGGGGAGTATCTGGGGACCCAACCAGCTCCAGCTCAGCCCCATGACACCTGGTCAGTGAAGTATGAGAGGCTACCCTCACATAGCCCGACTGGAGAGCAGTACTCACCTGGACAGCTATAGGTTACATGCTGCAAACCCCCTCTCCTATACTCTGGGAGGGCTCTGCTCTTATTCTCAAAATCTTGGGGTCCTCAGAGTCCATTAGAAGCAGCCCTTTCCCAGGCCTCAGCTTCTTTGTGGCCATAAGATATGGGAAGTAGTGGGGAAGGGCACAAGCTCCAAGAGTCGGACTGATGAGGCTTGAATGTCAGCACCTTTGCTCACTAGCTGAGTGATGCTGGAAAACTTTAGCCTTAGTCTCAGTCTTCTCATCTGTAAACTGAGTCTATTAACACTCCATGGCAGCCTTGTGTGAACTAAGAGGCAGAGTGCCAAGTGCTTAGTTTAGGGGCTGGTACAGCTTGGACACTCCAATCTATTCCTCCCAGCCTGTTACAGAGGTAGTTTCTGCTGTATACTCAGAGCCTGGGAATTCCCAATGACAGCCTCAAAAGAACGCTCATTATCTGGGTGCCTGGAAACCTCCACAGACAGCCCAGCAGTCCTATAGCAGTCCTATAGCCACAGGAGAGTCAGGCAGCCAAGAACAAGGTGGGCTTCTCAGCCCCTCCTCAGTGGACTGGGGTCAAGATGGGCTGTCCACTCACCTTCAGTGGCCACATCCTCGATGTTGACCTTGTGTTTGTCAGCCATGTAACCGAGGATGGAGAAGATGGCAAACCCAGACACGAAACTGGTGACACAGTTGATGCTGCTGGTCAGCAGGGCGTCCCTGGGGAAGAAGCATGGTGAGGTTGAGTGTCTTCTTCACTGCCCCCAAGCCTACCCACTGACCATTGGACCATCTATGGAACCTGCAGCCTGGACCCAGCCTTGAATGTTGTCACCCCTTTAGTTGCCCTGTTGCCACATGGGCCCCAGGGTCCCACTATCACTGGTGCAGGAAGCAGGTTAACTACTTATGGATGGGACAGTCTTATACCAGAATCTGCTGGCAAGTTCTTGTTAAGAAATGGAATCACCATCCTCCTTCTTTGACAAACCTTCTGTGACTCCTCAGTGCCTCCCAACTCCTCACTCTGCAAGGAGGACCCAACCTTCCTTCTAGACTCATTTTCCATGACTCCTAAACATATTCCTTAAACAAATCAAACCAGTCAATTTGCTGGCAAACATACCCCTTCTTGCTTTTGTCCATGCTGTTCCCCTTCCCCCATGTGTCTGCCTGGCAAATCCTAACTCTCCTCCAAGGCTTCCCTCAAATTCACCTCCATGCTCTTTCTGGTCCCCTGTCAGGGGGCTGATCACCCCATTTCTTGACCTCTTTACAGCATGTCCCACTGGTATGCATTTATTCTCCTGTGTTTTGTACCAAAGACACTGTGATTCTGCCTTAAGCCTCAGATGGAGAATGAGAGAGGTGTGCCTCTGTCTGAAGCCCACACCTCACTGGGCCTGCAGGAGGCAGCATTAAATGTCTCTTGGACAGAGCTAGAGAATGATCTTCTGACTCCCAGTCTGCCCTGCAGTCTTACCTGTGACACTGCCAGGCTCTCATCAGCCTAAATATTCCACCCCTGTCTGCCTGGGCATCAGATAGACAGAGTCAGACAGTGCTGTCTGCTCTGAAAGTCTCAAGGTGCTCCTTGGCCCCAGCTATCTGCCATCTCCCAGTGATAGTAACCTCAACTTTCCCAGGCCCACAACTTATATCTTCTTAAGATACCTCCTGAGATGAAATGTGCCCCACAGGAACCCCACAGACCATGTCAGAGTTCACAGAACACACAGAATGGTCCATAAGAAGAAAATGTGCCTTGTCCAAGGAGACTTGGCTTCCAGATCAGGGCTCTCTCTACCATCCCCACAAAGTCGACCCCCAGGATTTATAGCTTCCCAGAGCTCTGAGAAGAACCTTACCTGTAGCAGTTGTTGTCAAATTTGTTGTAACTGGCAAATGCAATCAAGACTCCAAATCCAGCCCCCAAGGAAAAAAATATCTGAGTTGCAGCATCAATCCATACCTGAAACCAGCAGACAAAAACCATCACTCTCTGCTCCCTATAGGGCTGGGCAACCTCACTGCTCCAGAAGGGCTGGGAAACCCTGGGGATGCTCTGAGGTGAGGAAACGTGGTCTGAACCAGAGACGGGTAGTCCTGAAACTCGCTCCCCTGCAGCCTGGACAAAACAGCCATGGGGCCTCCCTAGCATCTCCCAGCTTGGTAGTCATTAGTGAGCTCACCCTGGAGGAACTCACTGACTCAATTTCAGGTTCGGATTGTCAAAGACAGTGAATAAAGTAAAAGTTCTGAGATAGAATGTGGACAGGGCAAGAGCAAAGGGACCATCTCAGGAGCTATGGAGACAGCATCTCCAGAAAGGGATCATGAATCCTCCTAGTAGGCTTCTACCAGCCCACAGACTGTGGTGACTCCTTGGGGGCCAACAGGGTTTACTTATTCCATCTTTTGGGTAATAAAAGCACATGGAGGCCTGAAGATCTGAGCTCCTTTCCAACCTCTTTGTCTCATGGTCTAGGCCTGGTCAATTTCACTTCTCTATCTCAGTTTCCTTATCTGTATAGTGGGGATACTTACACCTTGCCCACCCAGACTAAGAGCTACAGTTCAGACTTGAGAGATATCTGTCATCTCCCACTGGTGCTATCCTAGGCTTCCCCACCTTTGCACACAGAAGGCATAATGAGAGCAGCAATCTGATGGGGGAAGACACATCTGCTCCTTTTTAATTTTTCTTTTGGAGTTGAAGTCTTGCCCTGTCTCCAGGCTGGAGTGCAGTGGCATGGTCACAGTTCACCGCAGCCTCAAACTTCTGAGCTTAAGCAATCCTCCCATCTCAGCCTCCCAAGTAGCTGGGACTACAGGCAAGCACCACCACACCTGACTAATTTGTATGTGTATATATATATATTTAGTAGAGGCGAGGTCTCACTATATTGCCCAGGCTGGTCTTGAACTCCTGGGCTCAGAAGATCCTCCTGCCTCAACCTCCCAAAGTGCTCGGATTACAGGTATGAGCCACTGCACCTGGCCAGATCTACTCCTTGAGCCTGCACTAAGAGCTTAGTTTCTACACATCTGAAAGACTCAGGATAGTTAAGCAGTTGCAAAGCAAATAGAGGTCTGACTTGTTTCACAGTTTACAAGGCTGACTCATGTCTTGTGCTCTGTTTCTTTCTGACAGTTTCTAAGAAAATAGACTTTCTCTTGGTTACTGATCTGTAGTGGTGTGCGGGGATGCTTATAACTCTGGGGAGAATATATTGGGTGCATCCCACCTAGTCTTATGTTGCTGCTGTCTGCCAGGATTATCATGGGTTCAAACCAAGTGTGAAGAAGCCCTTGAGAGTTGTGAGGAAGAATGTTGAAGTGTTTTCACTGAGGGGATCTGTGGGAGGAGGCTGGAGATCATCTCAGCCGCTATTTGAAGAGGTACTCTCTGCTAGACTCCACTACCAAATTCTCCCATGTTCATTTTAATTTAGGTCTCTGGGTGGGTAAGTGGTTAGGAGCAGCTATTGGGGAGAGAGTCAACAGGACCCCTGCAGGTCTCCATGGTGGATGAGGCCATCCTTTTGTCACAGGATGGTGGCAAAGGCCGGTATGGGTACCGGAAAGTAGAAATAAGGCTGGGCTCAGGAGCCATGAGCATAGGACAGGAACAAGAATTCAGGACATCACGTCCCCTTCCCAGTACTACTCTCCTTGAAAAGAGAGGTCTGTGAAGATCACTAACTGGAACCACAGAATTCCATCCATCAGAGTCAGGTTTAGCCTGTCAGGTGCAGATTGGGATTAGTTAGATAGAGAAGCTGCAGCTCAGAGAGAGAAGGATCCTGTCCAAGCTTAGAATTCATTACTGCAGGTGTATGGCAGAGCTAAGACAAGACTTGCCATCCCCATCTACCCCGAGAACCCTCCCCCAAGTCTGGTCCCAAACTGGGTGGTCACCGGGCACTGACCGTGGCCTCTTTCAGGCGGTAGAAATCGATGTGCAGGTAGGCGTTGATGCCGTTGGAGGCGCCGGGCAGCGTGATGCCGTGGACCAGGAGCACGAACAGCACCAGGTAAGGCAGTGTGGCCGTGATCCACACCACCTGGGCAGCAAACAGGCTTGCATGAGAGCCTAGCTCAGCCTGACATGGCAGGGGACTGGCGGAGCAAGGGCCCTTGCCCAGAGAGCCACTCACATTTTCTCCCACTGTCCTTTACCTGAGGCACATGCTACGAGCTCCAGCTCTAAGGAAGGCTGTGAGCTGGACTCTAGGGACAGAACAGTGAACAGAACACAGGCTCTATCCTAGAGAAGCTCAGGACCCAGAGTCTGCCACAATGGGGATAGTAGGTGATGGAAGCTAAGGGTACAAACACTAGGTTCTCATAGTGCCGGGCACCTCCTCCTCTACAGAGCCCCCATCCTGACTCCTTCAAGTCACCTCTGTCAGAGCTAAGCACACCCACCTTGGCACTCTCCTTTCCCCACAAGTCCTGCATCCATCACACCATCGGTATTGGTTGCTGCACCCATCTCACTGGCAGAAAATTTAGAAGTTTCTTTCTCTCTTTCTCTGTTTCTCCCATCTGCTCCTTCTCCTTGCCTTTCCCTCCCTGCAAACCCCTACCCCCAGTCTCCCCTTTTCCTCTCCCTCTTTTGCATATCTTCCTAAGCAAATTGCCTGAGAAGGGATGTGGCTAGGCAGAACACAGAATCTCTGGTCATTCTTTATCTTAGTGAAAAGAGATTTGCAACCCAGCCAAATCAGAAATACAAAAAAGGATGAGATCGTCTCCAGTTAAAAAAGAGAAACCCATCCCCTTGCCCAGGTTGGGGAACAGAGAAGAAATCCATCCCCTTGCCCAGGTTGGAGGAACAGAGCAGAAAGGCCAGGACAGGGGAAGGGAGAGTATGTGGGCTTCCTCACTGTTCCTTCTTACCCTTGGCTACACGTAAGAATACTCTGGGGTGTAGAAAAAAATGTTAAAGCTCAGATCCCATTCTTGGAGTTGCTGATTTAATAGGTCTGGGTGGGGCCTGCACTTTAGTATTTTTTAAGTTCCCAGGTGATGTGAATGTGCAGCCAAGGTGAGAAACAGCTGTTTTGGGAGGATGCAGCCATTTGCAGCCCTACAGAAAGAGGACTGTGCCCCAAATGGAAAGTCAGCTCATGGTCAGGGTAGTCATACTCAAGGAAGATCCAGCTGAAACACTAGAGGGCATCAAACTTAAGAGTCAGATGGTTCCACCCTCCCAAAGCTCTGGCACTATGCAGCCTCAAAAATCTTCACACATCGCTAAGGAGAAAATGGAAGCCTTGAAATGTGACCGAGGGTTAAGTTCTTGGCCAGCCTAGAAAGATATGGGTGTGAAACAAAAATGGAGATATAGAAGATAAAGTCATAAGTTTTACATTCCTATGTTAGGGGACTGGTTTCTATCTTCCTTGTTTACTTGTTTGTCTTTCCCACCAGACCATGAGCCACTTAGAAGCAAAATCCCATATTATTCAAACTTGTATCCCCAGCACCTGGTACACATGGGTCCTTAAAAATGATTATTGGATGAATGACTGGGCAGTTGCATCGATGAATGGTTGGACTGTTAGGTAGATGGATGGATGAATGAGTGGATGGTTGGATGATTCGACATGGTTGGGTAGATTGCTAACAGGGTGGATGGGTGATTAGGTGGGTAGATAGTTGAGTGAATGAATGGATAGATAGATGAGTGGGTCAGTGATAAAATAGAGGGTAAGAGGATGCCTAAATCAAAGAGAGAATTAAAACATGACCAAGTGAATGAATGAGCAAATAAGTCAACAAGTGAGTTAATGAATGCCCCGGTGGTGGTCACATCTTCTGGGCTCAGGGAGAGCCAGAGAAGACTCCTCTGTTTCATGCTATACAGTTGTTTCTCCATTTTCTTGTTTTATGAAGGCCTATGTGGACATGGGCTTTGACTTCTGTTGTCTTTCAATGCGGGGCAGGAACATGGAATACAGATTGTATAACAAATAAGGAAGAAACATCTCCTGGAAGGTGAAGCTGCTGCGTCTGGGTGGCTGCATATCGATCTTGGATTCATTCTCCCAGACTGGGACAAATGGGTCTAACTAAGTACTTGGGCAACAAGAGGCACCAGGAGGAGTTCTCATATATCCTTGTCATGGGTCCTAACTGCTATGGTATTCTACAGCTCATGTCAACGGCTGCATTACAGCTACACTGCCAGCACCAAAGACCAGGGAAGACCATACTCTTCTCATCAAAAACCAACATTCTGAGTTCTGACTTCAAGAAATCTCCCATGGGACCTGGAGATGATCCTACATTGACCATGTCTGATGCTCCAACATGGATTCAATTCCTTAAGGAATAAATCAGGACATGACTGAGCTGACCCTGACTACAGAGAAGCATCAAGAAAGAGATGACTTGTTTTGTCCAAGCCCATGTGCTCAAAGATAAATCATCTAGTTTTGTTGAAGGTTTCAGAATTGACAGTGGATGTGAGTTCAGCTGCCTAAGAGCTTATATATTGAAAGGGAGGCTCCTGGATCCTTGGCCAACAGGTTACTCATGCTCACTCTTCTCTTTGTGAAGAGAAAGACACTTGGGCTTTGTTTCTCCACCCCAGGTCTCTCCTTTCTCAATTTCAACTTGTAATGCATATCTGATCACGAGAAACCAGACTTGGTACAACTTTGAACACAAGATCAAGAATGTAACTAACAGCCCATTGGTCTTGGCAAGTGTCCTGAGCTCCCAAGGGAGGTCACTGCTTCCTATCACCTTACATCGAAATTCTTACCCGCCTGGTGTTTCTGTGGATAATTTGTGTGGCTCCAGGTTACCAAACTCAAACCAATGACTGATCATCAAAATGAGGGTGACTTTGACTCCTCATTTTCCTTTACTGTGAGCCCTTTAGAAGCAAAATTCTATATTTTACAAACTAGTACCCCCAACATCTGGCACACATGGGTCTTAAAAAAATGCTTACTGGATGAATGACTGGACAGTTGTATTGGTGAATAGTTTGTTAGGCAAATGGATGAATGGAAAGATGAGTGGATGGTTGGGTGGTTGGACATATGGTTGGGTAGATGGTTCCAAGGATGGATGGATGGTTAGGTGGGTAGATGGACGAGTGGATGGATGGATATAAGGTTGAGTGGGTGAACTTGCCACCCACTCATAAAAGGAAAATATTTCAAATGAACAGAACTCTCTAAAGGGAATGAAATGGCCAGGGAGGTGGCGAGGTCCCTATCACTGAAGCTGTGTAAGCCTTGCTACAAATCCAGGCATCAGGCAAAGGATTATCGAGATCAAGGTGAAGTCCATGGACCAGCAGTATCAGCATTACCTAGGAGCTTGTTTGAAGTGCAAGTTCTTTCCCCACTCCGCTGAATTAGACTCTCTGAGGAGGGACCCAGGAATAAGAGTTTTAACAAGCCATTCTCATGATTCTTGAGAGCATTAGAGTTTGAGAAGCACCACTTGGAACCTGCTTTAAGGTCTATTCAACACAGAGATTATAAATGTTCACACTTCATCGTTATAAATATTCATTAATTTAACCTTTAGTGATTTAGAATTTGTGATCCTCTTAACCAGATTTTAGGGATATTTTCACTAAAAAAAGAAGGATTTATGAGATTGTGGGGTATGCAATGATGTTATTTAAGAAAACAGTGAGCTGTAAATGTTGTAGTACGTGCATCACTCATATGCAAATGGGTTTTTCATTATAATTGAGCCCAATCAAATCACCAAAGCAAGCTAGGACCAGCCTGTATTGACACATTCATGGGAAGACTTGGCTAGAACTATAACTTGAATGTGAAAGTAATAAAGCCACCTTTCTATTGAAATATTCTACAGCTCAGGTTGTTTTTGAATTGATCTGGCTTTCTTTCTCCCTGAATACAGGCGGTGCTCCATCTAATTCCCATCTCCCAAACAGACAAACAGCTGGCCAGTTTCATTGTCTTGATTTTTCTCTAGAACAAGAGGAGTTCGTGGTTTCTGAATGTTTAGTCTAATAAGTAAACCGAATGAGTGGGAACCCGCCTACTCCCACTACCAGCTCCGCAGGGTACAATGCAGCATTTGAAAGTCACTAAGTTGAGGACAGGGCAAGGGTGGAGTGCTGACGAAGGAACAGAGACAAACATCATATATTGAGCAATTTCCATCTGTCAGCCCTGCACGGAGTCCTTCTCACTCCGTCCTCCCAACAACAGCCTTGGAGGCAGAAACGTTCACTTTTATAGGTGAGGAAACTGAAACTTATGAAAGGTCATTAACCCTGAAGTCAAAGGGATCTGACCACAGAGCCCAGGTTCTTAACCGCTCACTATACTGCAATTGGACACCCAGGTTCAAGTCCAGGGTGTGCTAAAGACTGCTGTGAAACCTTATCCCTCTCTAAACCTCTGTTTCCTCATTTGTTCAAAGAGGTTGGGGTAGACAATCTCTGAGCACCTTCCAGCTCTACCTGGAAGGGCTTGGACACTGAGTTTGTAGTTGCTAAGTGCCACTTCATCCAAGAACTCAGGAGATCAGGGAGGCAGGTAGCACTTCAGGATAGCAAGCAGTGGTGTGCACACAGTTGCAGGGCTCCTGGGAGCTGCCTAACTCCCGACTCCAACTCCTCCCCTCTCCCCTGAGGTGGTCAGTGGACCCAGATTGTCGCAGAGTCTGGATAATCCCCTGGCCTGATTCGGTTTGTGCCTTGCTCTCTGTATCCCAGTGGTCAAGGAGTCAGCATCCTCCCAAGCACAGCCTTTACTCTCCAAGGCGGGAAGTGTGAACACCTGCAATTCATTTCAGGCAAGTTCTGTGGCTGTGGAAACCTGCTAAGAAAAGCTCAGTGCCCTTTCCAGATACAGTCTGGGAAGAAATAAGCAACACTCTTGGTTTCCTCATGAGTCATTTTTAAACAAAGACCAAGCATGTCTGAGTGAAGCTTCCCATTCTAGAAATCCCTTCCCCGTGGATTGCCCTGGGTACCTGCTTGCTCAGCTGTCAGAACACTGAGGGACAAGTGGGCCATGACTTTGGTTGACAAATGCAAGGGGAACTCATATTCCTTACTGTTCATGTTTCTACATGGGGACTTTCCCAGTGTTACACTTATGTTTCTACATGGGAAATTTCCCTAATGTAATACTCCTGTCCTGCCCTTCAAAAGGGGCATTTGAAAAGAGGAGCTGAGCATGCCTAGCTCCTCTCTTCCTGGCTTCTCTAGCAGCAGCCTCCTGCAGACAATGTATGCTCTACTCTAGCCACGCACTAAATTAGGTGGGACAAGCTCCACCCCTTTGGTGATGGGAGTGGGAAATTCTATCTTGGGGTGCAATATTAGAAGCCTGTGGTGGCTCCATGTGGAGGTGAGTGGCAATAGTAAACCTCATTCATCTTCAGTTCACAGGGGCAGGCCATCTTTCCTCCGGGCCTCTGTCTGTGCCTACAGAGTCCAGGAGAGCCCTGCTCCTGGTACCCAGGAAAGGCACAGAGCACTGGACAAGACTGGCCAGGGCTTCCACACCTCTATGGCTTTTCTCATGAATTTCTTTCCACCAAGAGCCCCTCGCTCTGCCCCACCTCCACCTGTGCCTGTCCTTACAGACACAGCTTTGAGTGCCACCTTCTCCATGGTCTTTGTAGACCTCAGTTGAAAGAGACTACTTCCTCCACGAATGCAGCATCTTACACTTTTTGACCAGAACCCATGGTAAAAAATATCTTCTATATCAAAACAAACTGCAGATAAACATGTAGATTGCTGTAACTGAAACAAAAATTCCAAGAGATGGTTCTTTACTCTATGCAATGTAGTCTTATTACCTAGCCTATTTTATTTTTTAAAATGTGAAGATCCACTAAGTTAATGATAGTTTTAAAACCCACAGTTTTTATTTCTATTAAAGTATGAACTGATCACTGGATGTAAAATTATCTTCAAGGTAAAGTTGTTTTTTTTAAAGCAAGATATATAATAGTGTATAGTTTTTTATTATTGGTGCTTATTTAAAAGGGAATACACTTATGTTTCTGAAGAGAGACACAGGAAACTATTGACATTGGTTGACTCACAACCTGTCTGTAATACATAGAGTCTAAAGCAATTGAAGAAGGAATTCATCTTATTTATTCTTGTATTACTAGTACTAGCATCAAGTCTGGTACATAGTAGGTGTCCATAAATGGTTAATATGTTGAACTTAATTCAAAAGAACACTTAATGAAGTTCCCCAAACTTGTGTACACACCCACACTTCAATCCTTCAATAAATATTTGCTGAAGACCTACTAGGTGCCAAGCATCAGATGGTAGTGGTCCTAACCTGGATTTTCTCTACCCTATAATTCCTCCCAGCACTGGTCTGCATTTTGTGCGAGTCCTTTCTTGGGGCAAACACTTTCCCCAATATGCTGATGGGAAGTTCCACCTCCAGTTCTCAACAGATTTCATTCCCACTGGCTGCTGGTCACCTGCCACCATCTTTGATCTCAATGGCCTGACCAAGAATTAGGAGTGTCAGAGAGAACACTGATGTACCCCCCCTTTCCAAAATCAGATGTCTAATGAAGGTTCTCCCAAATTCATGCCTACCTGATTATGGGAGACTATTGCCTTGTGACCTCCAATGAACTCACACCAATGTGTAGTCCCCTCCCATATAGACTCTGGGCTTTACCACAAGACCTGTCTTGGCCATTGGGACAATAGCAAGCATGACGCAAACAGAGACTGGAAGAGATACTTGCACATTGGGGCTTGTCTGCTTGGAATGTGTTCTTGGAACTCAGCCGCCATGCTGTGAGAAGCCCAAGCAACACAGAAAGGCTATGTGGAAACAAGTCAAGGCGCTCTGGTTGACTGCTCCAACTTAGCTCCAAGCTAGCACCAACTGCCAGCAATAGGTATGCACCATCTAGAATGTTCCAGTCTAGTCAAGCCCCCAGATATGTAGCCTAGAGAACATCACATGGAGCAGAAGCATCTCTCACAGAATTGTGATAGATAATAAGATGGTTGTCATTTTGATTCACTACATTTTTAAGTGGTTTGTTACATAACGATAGCTAAATAAAATGTTGGAAAGAACATTTCCCAGCTACATTCTCTTTAATATAGTCAAACTCTACACAGACTTTATGGGCCCAAATGGGTTGTTGTTCCCATGATGTTCCTCAGGCTGAGAATCAACTGGAGTCACTTCCTGAGTACATCCGACCCCTGAGAGGCTGACCACAGGGGGCAGTGTTAACCAAGTTCAGAGTGCCTCATTGGTCATCTAAACTTGGACCCTTGGGGGCACTCAGCACTGTGTCAGAGGAAACATAAAGCCCAAGATAAATCTGGAAATCTTCTAGAGCATTCTTTTACTAAAAATTTCAGAGGGGGGTTTATTGAAGTTTTAGGTTGGGATTCAAGGTTTATTAAAGACATGTTGATAGTTGTTTATGCTTGTCCCAAGGCCCTTGGGGTATCCCATTCCCTGGTGTCAGCTATTGGGGGGCTTTGACAGGAAAGTAAAAGGAGCTCTGATCTTCTTGCACCCCCTCACCCTACTCTTGGGGAGTCATGAGCTTAGGGAAGGGAGGGGATTTGCTGAAGTCAGTGACTGAGCTGGGGCTTGAACACAGACTTTGTACTTCCAATTCCATCTTTTCTTTTTATCAACTACACAATTATAGCTAGAAAAAAATATTTTCCCAACCTCCCAACTGAAAGAGAAACAATGAGATATTACCTTTCCTGATGTCTTCACTCCTTTCCAGAGGCTAAAATACAAGACGATGACGACAACCAACAGACAGAGCAAGAGCTGCCACTGGGGCAGGCCAATGTCATGAATCCCGCTGCTCTCGTGAAGGTGTAGGACGCCACGCCTGCCAAGAGGAAAGGGGAAGGAACCAGGAAGATGGTGTCAGCATAGATGACTGAGGCCATGCCCACAGACCAGTCCTTGCAAATGCATACTGATGGATTCAGAATTCAGTCACTCTACCCTAACTATGTGACCCTGGCCGCTAGTCAGCACCACATGGCCATGCACCACATGGCCATGCACCATGTGGGCCTGCCCTGGTCAGCCATTGCCTGTGACTAGAACCGTTCTGCCATAGGTGAAGCAAATCTGAGGAGATTCCAAACTCAGGGTTGCTTTTAAAAGAAAAAATTTCTTAATGCCTACCGCATGCCTGACCATGGGGTCATAAATAGGGCAAGTCTCTAACGTCATAGAGTGCAGCACTCAGCACAAAAGGGGGCAACTTTGCTCCCCAGAGGATATTTGGCAATGTCTGAGATGGTTGGGTAGGGGGAGGTGGTGCACTTGGCATCTACAGGATAGAAACCATAGGTGCTGCTAAACACCTACAATGCACAGGACGGTCTCTAATAACAAAGAATCATCCTCCCCAAAATGTCCACATTGCTGAAGCTGAGAATCCCCAGCTCAGAGATTGAGACCAGGGTAAACATTTCTTCTATTTAGGAATACCTACTAAAGCTAAAGGCATGCATATCCTGTGCCCTAGGTATTCATCCAATAAAAATATGTGCAAATGTTCATCAAAAGACATGTTCTAGAATGTTCATCACAGCATTATTCATAATAATCCCAAATTGCAAAATACTCAAATATTCATCGACAAAAGAATGGATAAATCATAATATATTTATAAAATGGAGTATTGTATGGAAATGATCTCCAGATAGATGACTCATACTATGAGAAAGACATTAAAACCCAAAGAGCACTTTCTGCATGATTCCATTCATATGAAGTTCAACAACAGGCAAAACTAACCCAAGGGGTTGGAAATCAGAAGATATGTGCCATGAAATGGGGGTGTGGGGGCTACTGTCTTGAAGAGGACACGATGGGGACTTCCGGGATACTCATCATACTGTTTCCTGATCTGGGTGTTGGTTGCATGGCTGTGTTCAATCTGTAACATGCATTAAGCAGTCACTTGATGATATTCACTCTTCTGTAACACACTAGTCTTCAAAAATAGGTATTGTTTTTAAGTAAGGAATGCAAACAATGAACATTCCTCAGGTGTGAGAAAATCAGGGTCCCTCATATACAATCTACAAAGAAGTAATGGTAAATAGAATTGCAAACAAAATGACCATGTGCTGATTGGAAATCTAATCCAAGTCGGTTGGGATCTAAAGAAAGGTCAAGTAAGATTCACCGAAGAAACAATAGAGCTGGCCTCAGGGAAGAGAGGTTCCTCCGATAATTGTACACCCTTGCAAGGCCAAGCAAGCAGAACTGGGAATAGTTTTGTATGGTATTTGCTCTGCACCAGACTCATTCATTCCACACTGAGGACCTAATGTAAGCCGGCCCATCTGGGCCTCAGACACACACATGGAACTGCCTGCTACAGTCCCTGCCTCGGTGGACATATATTCTAGCATGGGTAGCAGGAGTAAGCACAACATCACAATAAAGTGTCACATGTATTGGGAGGGTCGAGGGAGCTGCAGGAGACCCCAGAACAAGACCCTGCTGGGTCCTCCTCTGTGCCTCGTGCTCAGAAGCTGCAGTGGGCTGCAAACTGCTGAACAACCTTCAAAGCCCAGCTGCAACGCACCTCCCCTGGAAGGCCCCATCCCCTAATAGAAGTCTCTCAACCCTTCCAGTGGCTGTGACTCTTGGCTCATTCCCCAAAAAGCCTGCTCCCACACTTTTTCAGGACAGGGAGGAAAGCAATCAGTCCTGGGTCCCTGGAGCTAAGCCCAGGACTGCAGTCAGAACTGTTAACTCTTAAGGGATTGCTGGGTTAGGAACAGGTGCTCCCAACCTTTCTTGCTAACCCAACGATCCATCTTCTGTAGAAAATGAGATCCAGGACCACCCCAAGGAGAAACAGGAAGGAAAGAGGGTCCGTCTCCCACATGCACCACACTCTCACTTCTCTTAGCAACCTCTTCCCCACTTGCAGCAAATTCCTTACTCTTCTGCCCAGTTCTTTTATACTGCCTAGAGCAACCACATATTTTCCCACATGGAAACTTAACTTCCCTGTGTCTAAGTCACAGGCGTTTGTTCTCAGCTGGGAGTCCATTCAGAAAGCAGCTGATAGATTCACACTAAAGTATTACAGGCAAAAAGTGACTTCATAGATCACTCTTCCCTGGAGTGGGACTCTAATCCCAAAGCACACACTGATGACAAAATTGTATACACAATGGATGAGACAGTCCAGAGGCAGATTACAGCCTTCCCCAGAGGCATTGTGAAAGACACGGGAAGATTCCAGACTGATGAGGAAAACATATACCTTGAGTCTGGAAACTCATTTAGCTTATTCTTTTTTTTTTTTGAGTTGGAGTCTCACTCTGTCGCCCAGACTGGAGTGCAGTGGCATGCTCCTGCCACCGCAGCCTCGACCTGCTGTGCTCTGGTGATCCTTCCGCTTCAGCCTTCCAAGTAGCCAGAACTACAGGCGCGCACTACCACGCCCAGCTAGTTTTTGATTTATTGTAGAGACGAGGTCTCGCCAAGTTGCCCAGGCTGGTCTCAAACCCGCAGGCCCAGGCAATCCACTCGCCTCGGCCTCCCAAAGTGCTGGGATTACAGGCTGAGCCACTGAGCCCAGCTCATTTAGCTTATTCTTGGGTAAGAGTTAATATTTCATTGTATGAAGCTGAAAGAATAGCAGGAAACCCCCACTGATTCTCTCTCTCTCTCTTTCTTTCTTTCTCTTTCTTTCTTTCTTTCTCTTTCTTTCTTTCTCTCTCTCTCTTTCTTTCTTTCTTCTTTCCCTCCCTCCCTTCTTTTTTTCTTTCTTTCCTTATTTTTTGCTTGCTGTTTCATTCACCCATTCATTCATTCAAAATAGATGTCTATTATTTGCAAGCATGTGGAAGAAAAATAGAAAAATGTGCCACAGGAATTGTCCAGGCTTTGGGGATAGACAGACCTGGCCTCCCATCCTAGCCCTGCCACCAGCTCCTGTGTGACCTGACTCCTTTCACTGATGCCACACACTCTCTCTGCCCCACTGCTCTGATCCAAGTAGTGTGCTGGTGGCTGATGACACTGCTGTGGACTAGCAGGTGATGGCTCCAGCCCACTGGAGCTCACAGGTAAGGGGTCAAACATTCCCCATTGTTGAGCCTTTGCCTCCTCAGTTAAGTGGCTCTGATGAGGATTAAGTTACAGAATGTGAGACAATACTCTGAGCCCAGAAAATGCTCAACAAATGGTAATTATAACTTATTATGACTGAGTCTCAGGCTTCAAGAAGCAGCAGGTGTGGGCAAAGGCGCCAAGGATGCCCAGAAAACCCAGCAGAGGGAGTCAGCTGGTGGGCTTCTCTGTGGATGCGGTGGGCGCCTTCTCTTCTAGCCAATGGGAGAACAGGGCAGGTTGGCAGGTGCACAGATATGGGAGAAGGAGAGATGGGGAGGGGGGAATGTGAGCATTTGTGAATAAAAGAGCAGAGTTGCGTGGCTAATCAAGCTTCACAAGACCCTCACCCCCTCCCCAGAATGGCACCCATTCCTGCAACCCCAGACCAGCTGTTGTGGCCTTGAAATATCACCCTGTGTCATCTTCCCCGTGTAATCAGTTGCCACCTCCAGTCCCTCCTAATCCTGTCTCTTGGTCTGCTCCCACCCAGATCACTGTCCCTATCCCAGGATAGACCCACACCTTTTTTCTCCAGGACTATTGTAAATGTCCCCCCACAGCCTTCCCAACCCCAATCTCTCTGCCTCCTATCCTTAGACCCACTGTCTGTGCTACTGCAAACTGATCCATCTGAAATGTTATTCAAACCTTGTCATCCTCCTGCCTCCGAATCCTCAGAGGCCACTTATCACCTAAAACAGTGTTTCTCGCTGGGGACTATTTTGCCCCCTGCCTCCCAGGGACATTGGACAATGTCTGGAGACATTTTTGGTTGTTGGATCTAGAGGGGAGGGAGATGCTGCTAGGATCTAGAGGGTAGAGACCAGGAATGCTGCCAAGCACCCCAATACACTGGAATCATTCAATCTCCTACCGTTTGGCCTTCAGGAACTATTCAACCCAAAATGTCAATGGCATCCAGGTGGTGAAATCCTGGTCCAGTGGACAGCAATCCAAGCCTTGCAGAATTGGAGGTCTTCCCTCATCCATCCCAGATAAAGTTCACCCCACCTCTCCACATCCTGCCTTTCACTCCTGGTGGCTTTGTAATTCCCTAATCATAGGGTGCTCTAACAGCTCTGAGACTTGGGACCTTCTGTTCCCTCAGCCTAGAACACACCTAGCAATTTGTCCACCTGGCAAACTTCCTCTCATTCTGCTAGTCCCAACTCAAAAATGATCCCCTGACTTAAATCCTTTTTTTATTTCCTAAGAGAGAGTGAGGAAGAATAGGAGAGGGTGGCAGGACTGGGCATAGCTAAAAAGCCAGAGAACCAGAGGCAGGTACTGACCCCATGTGACGCTTAATTCTGCTTCTTCCCATGGTTTTATGGGCCAAGCGTTGAATGGTGTTAATCATCATTTGGCTGATTTGACTATTAAAATCCTGAAAAAAGCCATGGAACCAATGTGTTTGCACTGAAAGTTGCTCAAATGCCTCTAGTGTCCAATCAGATGGCCAAAGTGCTCCCTAACAGGCCTGGCTGACTCCTATGTATTTGAAGTCCACTTTCAGCGTGGCATTGGTTGGCTAGATATTTCATCAGGGAAAAAAAACTGGACTCCTGTGCTTATTCCCAAGAGAAGAAATAAGAATCAAGCTTCTTTCCCCAGTAGGCCCAAGCCTTGGGGCTTAGTACACATAACCTTGGTTAGTTTTGTTTTCCAGCAATTTAATGAAAATGAATCATCGTGAAGTGTACCATCCAGCCTTTCTGAAGTCTACAGGCCAAA